CTCCCTGAGCTGCACAGCACTTGGACATGCTAACAGTAAGCAGTTATCCCCTCCCCTGGGGTGGAGGACTTTTCTCCCAGCCTGGCTAGACCATGGTGCTCATTCAGCCTCATAGTGACACCTGGGGTGGGAGGGGGCTAGGCCACCTATGGTTGATGTCCCTCAATCTTCCTACAGAGATGCCCACAATAGGAAGGGGCCCTGCCTCCCTGGCCTGCAGTAGGGGTCCATGGAGGAAAGGCAGAGTCCTGACTTACTCAGGCACTGCCCCAAAGTCCAAGATGGCCCGTGCCTCAGCAGCGAAGATCTTGCAGTATTCCCGGCTGGAGTTCTGGATTTTGCATTCCTGGGATTGAAGCACAGAAGTCACTGCCCCTGCCCTTACCCTTCCCTGAGGCCTGCCAGCCCCATGGGGCACTGCTCAGATAGCATCTCCTACCTACTGGAGACTGGCACGGGAAGTGACCTAGCAGCTGCTGTGTCCTGTTCACTGCTCTCCTCCCAGTGGACACAGGGCAGCATAGAACACCCCAACCTGCAGGGCTGAACCCAGACCCACCAGAGGTCCAGCCACCCAGCCTGCCCAGGGTAAGTGTGAGCACTGGACAAGTGGGGAGCTGGGAAGAGCAAGGGTAGGCCTTGCTGTAGTGCCCAGGCAGTGAGCAAACACCCAGGGCACACATAAAAATATGTTGTGGCAGCTAAGCAGGCGCTGTCAGTGAACAGGTGAGCAGAGGCCAGGGGAACTGAGCAGGCTTGATGGGCAAAGGCTAGGAGCAGGGAGGAGCTGAGGAAAGGGCAGCCCGCTGGGCTCAGGCCAGGTGGGAGGAGCCTGCTGAGCTGGAACGAGGCAGGTGCAGTGCCAGGAGTGGGGAAATGCCAGGTCAGGCAGAGAAGGTGAAACTATCCCACATATCCCCTAGCTCCCACCAAGCAGGGGGTTTCAGGCCATCGCCAGGTTGCAGGCAGAGGGGCCAGGGCATGGCAGGGTGAGGTGAGGCACCCACCTGAATGGTGATGTCATAGTTCTTCTCAACAAGCGTATTCTCATTCTTGGTCCCGAAGATGATGAGGTTGTGCACTTTGATGAGGCAGGTCCTGCCGGACTCGAAGATTGGCTCCAGGCCATAGATGGCCCGGACACGGCACGCCTTGCGCTGGAAGCCGTCACCCACCTCCATGTCCTCACACATGATGCGCCCAAAGAACTTGTCCCCCCAGTAACCTGATTCAGCCAGGCCTTTGGCGAACACCATGGGGGTCATTTCGATCTCTTCACCAACTGGCAGAGGGAAGAGAAGGTGAGCCAACACCGCCAGGCTGGGCAGGGAAAGGCCAGGAGCTGGGCAGTAGGGCTGTGTCAGGCTTTGGACAGACTTTCAGATCTGGAGAAGCTTCGGACACTTTGGGGTGCGAACCAGCAAATCCGGGTCAAAGCGCTGCCTCGTTCGGCATCCCGAAGCGCTTTGGAGCCGGCTCGGAGATCCGGCCATAGGGTATAATAGGGAAACAATAAAATATCTATAACTTTGTTGTTTCTTGTCTGATTTGGATGAAGCTTACAGGAGTGGTAGACTTGGCAGAGCGGATGAAGCCTGCCAAGTTTCAAGAAGATCGGTACAGGGGTTTGGGGGGAACAGCACCCCAAATTCTTGAAAGCAAAACTCCTGTCACATCTACATGTTACACCACAGGGGTGAAAACTGCAAAGGTCTTGCTGAGGCCACAAAGCCTGCCAAGTTTCAAGAAGATTGGTGCAGGGGTTTGGGAGGAACTGCACCTCAAGCGGTGGACAAGCAAAACTGGTGCCTTGGGTGCTTGTGGGACGGACTATGTCTGTCTTGGGGCAGGGAGGGGGCCACTGCTGCAGGCCTGGCTGCTAAGCTGCTGTGTTACCAGTAATCAATCGTGATTCACTCAGGGACCAGGGACTCAGGGACCAGCTCAATTCACAGGACCTAGCTACTACATAAGGACTTAACAACCATCAATTAGCACCTACAAAACCAGGCTAAGGAGAGGAAAGAATCAAGACAGACAATCAACTACCCCAAGACAGACAGTCTCGGCACCAGTTTTGCCTGTCAGCAGCTTGGGGTGCAGGGCCCCGGGACCCCCCTGCACCGATCTCCTCCACAGCTGGCAGGTGTCGTGGCCGCAGCAGGAGCCACCATCCCTGCAGCTGTCACCCCGTTGCCCCTTAACACATGTAGTGTCACCCATGGCACGAGTTTTGCTTGTCTGCAGCTTGAGGTGCAGTTCCCTGCAAAGCCCTGCACCGATCTCCTTGAAACATGGCAGGCTTTGTGGCCTCAACAGGAGCTACCAGCCCTGCAGTTTTGACCCCTCCATGTTGTAACACACAGCCGTGACATGAATTTAGCTTTCACAAATTTGGCGTACAGTTCCCCCCAAACCCCTGCACCGATCTACTTGAAACTTGGCAGATTTCATGCTCTCAGCAGAGGCTACCATCCCTGCATGTTTTATCCAAATTGGACAAAAAAACAACAAAGTTATAGATATTTCATTGATTTCACCTTATACCCTTTGGCCGGATCTCCGAGGCGGCTTCGAAGCTGCAG